TGACTTGTTTGTCCATTGGAAACAGTAGTATTCAGAGAGGTTATGTGGTCCATCTGTGCCATTTGGGAAGAATTAGCTTCAGGGACATGAGTTGAAGTAAACATCAAAACTGGGCAGTTATTAACTCCAGAGGGGAAAACAGCAAATTGTTTAGAAAATGAATATGGTCATTGTACACTACTTGGCTAAAGTACATATAAAATTTATAAGGTCATTGTAAAGTAAAACAAATAGTCATCTAACCAAGAATTGTGATGTGCTGATTTTGAGAAGGTGGAGAGGGTAAGGTAGGGGGTGCGGATGTGGCACTGAATCCTTATTCGCTCTCATCCAAAATCAGTAAATAATGTCTCAAACTGATAAACCATAAAACAGCCACACATGCTTATTATATAGAAACATGAAAGTAGATCCTAGAAGAAAACAACTGAAAGCGATAATAGGCATTCCCTTCTGGGGAGGGGTTCGCAGAGGTTCTGAGGAATGGTACGGAAATGCTTTTTCTACATCATAAGCACTCTAGACCAACTTTTCACATCGACCCTGTGTGCTGTATATTCCACTGTGGTAGAGAAAGAAATTAAGGATGAATGGGAGGGTGAGAAACAGAGATGGTGAACGTAGACATCTTTGCCAAGAAGTTGAACAGTGAAGGAAGAGAAATCACGTCCACCCCTTAGGTGGCCTGAATATTCCCTAGGTACCGACGTCGCACTTTCCGTATGCTGACCCGCGGCAGACCCCGTCTTACTGAGCGTCGCTTGATGGTGCTTCCCACATCCTGAGTGGCTTACAAACCGGCTGGTAGCAGCCCCACACTGAGCAAGTGTCCGCACCCTTTTTCCAAAAGCATTTGCTCACTTCTTGTCTCTGTGTCACATTTTGGTATTTGAGATTCTGTCATCATCATCATATTCGCTGTGGTGGTCTGTGATCGGTGGTCTTTCATGTCACATTGTAATTGTTTTGGGGCTCCACAAAACGCACCCACGTAAGCTGGCAAACTTAATAAAGGTTTTGTGTGTTCTGACTGGCCCGCCGACCAGCCCTTTCCCTGTCTCTGCCCCTCTCCTTGGGCTGCTCTACTCCCTGAGACACAGAAGTACTGGCTTTGGCCAGTTAGTAGCCCTGCGGTGCCCTCCAAGCGTTCGAGTGAGAGGAAGAGCCGCGCGTCGCTCCCTTTACATCAGAAGCTCAAAACGGTCAAGCTTAGCGAGGGCGGCACAGAAAAAGCCCAGACAGGCCGAAGTCTAGGCCTCTTGTGCCAGTCAACCCGGTTGTGGATGCCAATGAAAAGTTCCTGAAGGAAATCAGAAGTGCTTCTCCAGTGAGCACAGTAGTGATGAGAAAATGAAACAGCCTTAGTGCTGATAGGGAGGAAGTTCGGTCTGGAGAGATCAAACCAGCCAGAACATTTCCTCAAGCCAAAGCCTGGTCCAGAGCAGGGCCCTAATCTCTTCAATTCTGTGACGGCTGAGAGAGGTGAGGAGGCTGCAGAGGAAAGCTTGGGAGCTACCAGACAAGGCACCTGGTCCCCCAGGCGTTCTGATGGGGATGGGATCTCAGCAACGAGATCAATATTGCTTTCATGCTGCTGACAACGTCCATTCCACAGCCCATGGACCAAGGAGTAAGACTGATTTTCAAGTCTTTAAAAAATACATTATTTAACGAGTGCATTTAAGAAATACATTTCATAAGGCTTTAGCTGCCATAGGTAGGGATTCCTCTGATGGATCCTGGCAAAGTCAATTGAAAACCTTCTGGAAAGGATTCAGTATTCCAGATGCCATTAAGAGCATTCATGATCATGCGAAAAGGTCAAAATAGCAACATCAACAGATTCAGAAGTTGATTCCAACCCTCACAGATGACTTTGAGGTTCAAAACTTATCTAGAGGAAGTCACTGCAGGTGTAGTGGAAACAGAAGAGAACTAGGATTAGAAGTGGGGCTTAAAGATGTGACTGAATCGCTGCATCTCATGATGAAACTTGAATTGATTTCTTATGGATGAGCAAAGAAAGTGGTTTCTTGAGATAGAATCTCCTGCTGGTGAGGATGCTGTGAAGTTTGTTGAAATGACAACAGAGGATTTAGAATATTTCAAAAAGTGTTGATAAAGCGGTGACAGATTTTGAGAGACTTAATTGACTCCGATTTTGAAAGAAGTTCTACTGTGGGTAAAATACCAAACAGCATCCAAGCCTACAGAGAAATCGTTTGTGAAAGGAAAAGTCAATATATGCAGCGAATTCATCAATGTCTTATTTTTAAAAATTTCCCCAGCTGCCCCAGCCTTCAGCGACCACCAGGCTGATCAGCCGGCAGCCACCACCATGGAAGCAAAACCTTCCAACAGCAAAAAGATTATGACCTGCTGAGAGCAGGTTGACGGTTAGCATTTTTAGCAACAAATTATTTTTTAATTAAGGTACAGACACTGTTTTTTTTAGATGTAATACTATTGTACACTGAATAGACTATACTATAATGTAAACATAACTTTTATATGTTTACATATACACCGGGAAACCAAAAATTCGTTTGACTCCCTTTATTGCAGTGGTGGGGAACTGAACCCACATCTCTGAGGTCTGCCTGTATTGTAATCCTCCTGTCAACCCGATGACTGTTACTATCCCCATTTGGCAGATAAGGAAACACAAATCCAATTCTCATAGCTAGAAAATGGCAAAGCTGGGATTTGAACCCAGGCTGAAGGGCGCCAGAGCCCTTGGTGGGCAGAAGGCAGTGAGAGCTGAGAAAGGGTTTGTTTTTGTTTTTTGTTTTTAGTGGGAAAGACATAAGCAAGAAGATCCAGCCAAGAAGATGGCTGTCTGGGGGCCTTCTGGTGTTGACTTTCCCCAGGTAGTTACTGTGAAAGGAAAAGAAAGCCAAGGAATCTGAGAGCGTAAAGCCGGGAGCATGGGGACCGATGAGCTATGGGATCTCGGCAGCAGACAGAGGAGCTGGACGGACCGCAGGACAACGAAGGGTCGAGAAGGAGTGCCGGGATAGACGGGCAGCAGGTTGTTTTCAGAGAAGATGGGACGCTGGCTTTGAAGAGCCGCCAGGTGGAGCGGAAGAAAAGCCGCACGCACCACGTGCATACACAGAGCTCTGGGTGGGTATTACCAACGTGTTATCAAGAATTGTGGGCGCTCTTTGGTTTCATTTTTGCTCCTAATTTACATTTACTTCCCTAATTTGTGTTCTATTAATTTGCACTGCTTATGTGATGAAACTCACAGTGAAAGTCACCAAACCATTCAGAAGCGAAGCCGCCCCAGGCAGTGACGAGGCCCAGGGTCTGGTCACGGAAGTGGGTGCTGACTTGGGGTGGGAAAGGTCTTTGGAGCTAAGGAAGTAAAGAAATGTGAAGCCGCGCAATGAGGTAGTGCTCATGACCACGCGCGCCGCGGGGGAAACGGCGGTGGCACTCTGCTGTGACTGCAGGGAGAGGGCGTCTGAGTGGACGCCACTGGGCTCAGGGTCCGGGAAGGCAGAAGGCGGTGGCACAGAAAGGCTTGAGCCTCTGCTTTCCTCTGTCCTCTCACAGTTACCCACGCTGCCACCTAGACTAAGGCAGGAGCATTTTCATTGGCCTCGCCACCCTGTTCCTTCTGCCCGTTCAGGCTGCCCACGTCTGTTAACCGTGACCGTCTCTCACTTTATAAAGCGCTCTGCCCTTGCTCGGCGCTCTCTCATAGCTCTGCTTGCTTGTGTGAAGGACGTTGATTGAAGCCTTGGCCAGCCGAGGCCCCCTGCCCGGCTCTCGGCACCTGTCTGCACCTGGGCATCTGAAGCGGTGGTACTGCTTGCTGCCTGCCTGTTGGAAGGAATGAATGCAGAAAAGGTGCTTGAGAAAGAATTATTTCTCATTGCAACCTAAGGTCGTAATAGTCCCCAATTGATCCTCTGCTTCAGTAGTTTGTTCCTTCTTAAACTTCTCACTTTGAAATAATTATAGATTCATAGGACGTCACAGAGAAATGCTCAGGGAAGTTCTGCACACCCTTCTCCCAATGTTTATGTCTTAATTACGTACATCAAAACCAGGAAACGACAATGGTACGATCCATAGAGCTGATCGGACTTCACCAGTTAGACCTGCGCTCACACCGGGGAGCTGGGGGGCCTCTGTGTGATTTTTCCACACATGGAGCCTCGCACAACCACCACCCACAACCAAGAGCCAGAACTGTGCCGTCACCACAAGCCTCCCCGTCATCCCGCTGCAGCCCCAGCCTTCCTCTGCCCCATCCCCTGCGCCTGGGGACCCCTAATCTGTCTCCACTGATGTACTTAATGTGATTCATGCGTATTATGCAAATGAAATCACGTGCTGTGTATCCTTTTGAAATTGGCTTTTTTTCACTCAGCATAATTTCCTTGAAGTTTATTCACTCCGGTAGTTTCTTTGAATTTTGTATTGCCTTCAATAGGAAACTTGTTCATGTCCACCTCTGCTCTCAGACATGCCATTCCCCCTCCCGGATCGCCCTCTACCCACCCCCTCTACCGTCTGTATTCATTTCCTTCTTCAGAGTGTGTCTTGCTGCCATGTGCCTAAACCCGTCTGACCATCTCTGTTCTGGTATTAATTATGTATGCCTCACACCATGACATTTCCCACCTGCAGGTAGAGGCAGAGACCATGTCCAACCTATCTTTATATTCTCAGCATCTAGTACAGTGCCTGAAATGGAGGAGGCACCCGTTGATTGTTTTTTGCATGAATGAATCACGTTGCTCTCTGGCGCTTACGTTGTGTCTTGGGTATATGGTATCTTCCCATCTGGACTCCAGACTGGATTGTAAACTCCTTGAGTGCAGCAACTGCTTCCATTTACTAGTGTCCACGAGGTCCCTCTTAGGGTTGCCCTAGATGCTTCTCTGTGGCTTCATGGAGCAAGTGCCTCTGAGTTATGTTGGGTGAAGTGAGGGCACAGTGTCTATGGGACTGGTTTCCCAGCTGCCCAGCCTGACTTCCCACAGTCAGCAGGACGGACCTGGAGATGTCGGGGCTGAAGACCCTGGAGCATGTGGCAGTGACCGTCTCCATCACTCATCCACGACGTGGCAGCTTGGAACTGAAACTCTTTTGCCCCAGTGGCATGATGTCCCTTATCGGCGCCCCCCGCAGCATGGACTCGTACGTACACCTACCCACACCTGAGCTCCCTTTGCGGCACCGGCCTTTTCAAGGAAAAGGTACGGGAGACGTGGACGCTGGCACTGCCCTGCACTGCCATGGCCCTGGCCGACCATGGCAGCTGGAAGCCACTTACTCGCGCTTCGTGCAAGCCCTTCAGCGTGCTGAGCACTATGCTCTACGTCTATGCCCCTCTAATCCTATAAAAGCCGTGCAGGGCAGACTGTGTAACTTCCTTGTATAGATGAAGAAATGAGGCACAGCTAGTAAGTGCCTGGGAGAGTGACAGAAAACCTGGACTGTGCGGACTCCCAGGCCCACGCTCGTCCCACGCTGGCCTTTCCCACTAGGACCCATTGACACCAGTCCCTCTGCCCGTGAGATCCCGGGAAGGGGTCAGTGCTGAGGACCCCACGTGGCACTCTCCTGATGGCTGGAGCTCAGACAACAGCTGTACACTTTCATGGCTACTACAGAAAAAAAAAAGAATGTTCCTGGGCAAAGCAGTCAGTTCCTGCACCCTCCTTCCAAGTTTTCTACTCTGTGCTTTCCTCCAGGGACCCCAGCGGCTTCAATGATTGGACCTTCTCCACTGTGCGATGCTGGGGGGAGAGAGCGCGAGGGATGTACAGACTCGCCATCAGGGACGTAGGTAAGCCTGCCTGCCCTCCCGTGGGGCCCGCCTCTCGTGACTGTCCTCTGGTCCCTCTGGACCTCAGTCCCCATAGGAATCATCCCAGGTGGAATACACAGCGTCACCCTTAGAACAGCAGCATAGAAGCCAAGAAGTATGTCCCATCTAAAAAGTGGGCATTGAATCTGAAATTGTTCTTTTCTATGGCCTCTTCTGTTCCCTGGAGAAGTGACTGGTCCATTTTTCCTCAGCATAGCAACATCAGTTCCTTACTGAAGCCACATTTCAAGTCCTTTCACATATGACCACCCTTCAGCCAGCCCTGGTAGGCATTTAAGGGCAGGACCAACTTTCACGGCCTTTTTCTGGAAAGTCTTAGGCCCCGCAGAGGTTGGAAGTGACTTGCATAAGGTCACACAGTGTTTCAGTAAGAAGACTGAGCCCAGCCCTCCCTCGTTAGCTAGTCACTGGACCAGTGGCTTTTAAACCTCTCTTTAATTTATAACTTTTTTTTCCCCAATCAAAATCCCAGCTGAAATTCCAAAATATGGAAGAGATAAAGGCAGAACTTCTCTGCTTCAGAGTACCCTCTTCCACCTCCCCGCTTGTCAGCCACTAAGGACACCGCCGCAGAACCTGGGGTCGCTGGGACTGCAGGAGGCCGAGTGGCCGAGTCCCCCCGGGTGATGGGCAGGCAGGGCCTCGGCTGTGGGCATGGCCCGCGGAGGGCATGGCTCAGGACTGCCCCTCTTGCATCTCTAGGAGACGAGCCCTTCCAGGCCGGTATCCTCCAGCAATGGCGGCTGACCCTGTATGGCTCTGTGTGGACTCCGGTAGACATCAGGGACAGACAAAGGTAGGGACAGACACACGTGTCAGAGGGGAGACAACGCACGGGGGCTGGGGGGAGGGACACCTAGAGAGCCCCACCTCCCGGGGCACCCACGGCACCTGCCCCCTTTTTGATGTGGGGATCCCTCCTCAGCTGTAAGGTGGGAGGATGGGTGAGGGCAGGTGGAGAGAAACCCAGTGAGCGGGGCATCCTCACCCCCTCCACAGGCTTCTAGAGAGCGCCATGAGTGGGAAGTACCTGGATGAGGGCTTCACCTTGCCCTGCCCTCCGGGGCTGAAAATTCCGGAGGAAGATGGCTACACCATCACCCCTAACACCCTCAAGGTACTGGGGCCGTGATCCGAGCTACAGGCAGACAGGAAGGTCCTGGGGGACTCAGTCCTTGGTGGGAAACTCCAGGTGACTTGGGGAGTGAGGGGTGGGGAAGACCCGGTCCCCACTCTCCTGACTGACTCTTAGAGGGCATGCCTGGAGGTGATGGGCAGTGCTTTGGGTGGGAGGGGCAGCCCCTAGAGGGAGACTGGCTTTCTGAGCCCATTGCTCTGGCCTGAGAAAAACTGCAGGCTTGGAGAAATGGGCCCTAACGTGGGTTGGAATTTTCCCCAGACCCTGGTGCTTGTCGGCTGTTTTACCGTCTTCTGGACCATTTACTACATGCTGGAAGTATACTTGGGCCAGAGGAATGGGGCCTCTCACCCGGTTTGTAGGACTGGACCCTGCCACTGGCCCCAGCGAAGCCAAAAAGCCGGGGCGGAGGAGACAGAAGTGGAGTCAGTGCCGCTTTGTGACCGCAAGGATCCGGCCGGGGCGGAGGCGGAGGGTGAGGGCGCTCCCCGCCGCGCCGTGCGGGGGCCGGGGGCGTGGGGCCTGTCCCAGAGCAGGAGTGCCCCGGACGGCCCTCACCAGCCCCTGCGCCCAGACCTGCTGCGCGGGAGGGAGGAGCGGATCTGCTGACCCGGGGCCTGGCAGGTCGGCGTGGACAGCCTCTTCCTTCCCGAGTCCGGGAGCTCGGGGGAAGGCGGCCCTGACCCTCGGTCTGGAGCCCAGAGGCCTTCAGCGCGCCCGCTGGCTGTGCTCAGGGAGGGCAGGCGCCTTCTCACGGGGAGTCCAGCGGTGGCGGGCGGGGCCAGAGACCGATGCGGCAGCAGCCCCAGCCCTCCAGCTGAACGGGAGCTTCTGGTGAGAAGGTCTTGGACCAGGCGCCGGCCCCTCCCCACTGGACAAGTCTCCGTCCTCATTTCTCCTGGACAGGCCAGTGGTGTGGGTCACGGACCCTCACCCATGCCTGGCTGAGGGCGCCGGCCGCGGCCAGAAGAGCATCTCCGCGGAAGCATCACTGGGGTCACTTGGGAAGAGGGCTTGGGGTGAAGGCTGGGAGAACCCCCAGATAGGCCTGTCCTCTTAATGACTCAGGACCCAGAAAAAGCAGACTTTTCCTCTCTTTCTCCCACTTTCCTGTCTAAGACTCGGGCCTCGGATGTACTGGTATGGCGATCGGCTGTCCGCCTGGCACGCCTGCCCTGAGGGCAGCTGCCCCCATCATCCCTGAGCAGGAGCCGACCCTGAACACCCCCCCTGGTGCCCTCACAGCCACCCCCAGCCCCCTCCCGAAAGAGCGGTACGCTGCTCCTGGCAAAGCCGGGACGGGCCTCACTAAGGGAGTGTGCCGGGGGTCTGTGGCAGGGGTCAGCGGCCACCATGCCAGGCCTACGGCCACCCCGGCTTCCTCCCCAAAGTGCTCAGGGAAACGGCCTTACCCGCTGAGGCCAGCCGTCTGCCTGACAGGCTGGAACTCCCCCCCATTCTTGGCCTCCTCCCTTCTGAGTGAGTTTGGTATGGAAGAGATAAAGGCAGAACTTCTCTGCTTCAGAGTACCCTCTTCCACCTCCCCGCTTGTCAGCCACTAAGGACACCGCCGCAGAACCTGGGGTCGCTGGGACTGCAGGAGGCCGAGTGGCCGAGTCCCCCCGGGTGATGGGCAGGCAGGGCCTCGGCTGTGGGCATGGCCCGCGGAGGGCATGGCTCAGGACTGCCCCTCTTGCATCTCTAGGAGACGAGCCCTTCCAGGCCGGTATCCTCCAGCAATGGCGGCTGACCCTGTATGGCTCTGTGTGGACTCCGGTAGACATCAGGGACAGACAAAGGTAGGGACAGACACACGTGTCAGAGGGGAGACAACGCACGGGGGCTGGGGGGAGGGACACCTAGAGAGCCCCACCTCCCGGGGCACCCACGGCACCTGCCCCCTTTTTGATGTGGGGATCCCTCCTCAGCTGTAAGGTGGGAGGATGGGTGAGGGCAGGTGGAGAGAAACCCAGTGAGCGGGGCATCCTCACCCCCTCCACAGGCTTCTAGAGAGCGCCATGAGTGGGAAGTACCTGGATGAGGGCTTCACCTTGCCCTGCCCTCCGGGGCTGAAAATTCCGGAGGAAGATGGCTACACCATCACCCCTAACACCCTCAAGGTACTGGGGCCGTGATCCGAGCTACAGGCAGACAGGAAGGTCCTGGGGGACTCAGTCCTTGGTGGGAAACTCCAGGTGACTTGGGGAGTGAGGGGTGGGGAAGACCCGGTCCCCACTCTCCTGACTGACTCTTAGAGGGCATGCCTGGAGGTGATGGGCAGTGCTTTGGGTGGGAGGGGCAGCCCCTAGAGGGAGACTGGCTTTCTGAGCCCATTGCTCTGGCCTGAGAAAAACTGCAGGCTTGGAGAAATGGGCCCTAACGTGGGTTGGAATTTTCCCCAGACCCTGGTGCTTGTCGGCTGTTTTACCGTCTTCTGGACCATTTACTACATGCTGGAAGTATACTTGGGCCAGAGGAATGGGGCCTCTCACCCGGTTTGTAGGACTGGACCCTGCCACTGGCCCCAGCGAAGCCAAAAAGCCGGGGCGGAGGAGACAGAAGTGGAGTCAGTGCCGCTTTGTGACCGCAAGGATCCGGCCGGGGCGGAGGCGGAGGGTGAGGGCGCTCCCCGCCGCGCCGTGCGGGGGCCGGGGGCGTGGGGCCTGTCCCAGAGCAGGAGTGCCCCGGACGGCCCTCACCAGCCCCTGCGCCCAGACCTGCTGCGCGGGAGGGAGGAGCGGATCTGCTGACCCGGGGCCTGGCAGGTCGGCGTGGACAGCCTCTTCCTTCCCGAGTCCGGGAGCTCGGGGGAAGGCGGCCCTGACCCTCGGTCTGGAGCCCAGAGGCCTTCAGCGCGCCCGCTGGCTGTGCTCAGGGAGGGCAGGCGCCTTCTCACGGGGAGTCCAGCGGTGGCGGGCGGGGCCAGAGACCGATGCGGCAGCAGCCCCAGCCCTCCAGCTGAACGGGAGCTTCTGGTGAGAAGGTCTTGGACCAGGCGCCGGCCCCTCCCCACTGGACAAGTCTCCGTCCTCATTTCTCCTGGACAGGCCAGTGGTGTGGGTCACGGACCCTCACCCATGCCTGGCTGAGGGCGCCGGCCGCGGCCAGAAGAGCATCTCCGCGGAAGCATCACTGGGGTCACTTGGGAAGAGGGCTTGGGGTGAAGGCTGGGAGAACCCCCAGATAGGCCTGTCCTCTTAATGACTCAGGACCCAGAAAAAGCAGACTTTTCCTCTCTTTCTCCCACTTTCCTGTCTAAGACTCGGGCCTCGGATGTACTGGTATGGCGATCGGCTGTCCGCCTGGCACGCCTGCCCTGAGGGCAGCTGCCCCCATCATCCCTGAGCAGGAGCCGACCCTGAACACCCCCCCTGGTGCCCTCACAGCCACCCCCAGCCCCCTCCCGAAAGAGCGGTACGCTGCTCCTGGCAAAGCCGGGACGGGCCTCACTAAGGGAGTGTGCCGGGGGTCTGTGGCAGGGGTCAGCGGCCACCATGCCAGGCCTACGGCCACCCCGGCTTCCTCCCCAAAGTGCTCAGGGAAACGGCCTTACCCGCTGAGGCCAGCCGTCTGCCTGACAGGCTGGAACTCCCCCCCATTCTTGGCCTCCTCCCTTCTGAGTGAGTTTGGTTGATTTGAACTTTTTTTAAGGCTTAAGATTTGTTTTTCTCTTTTCAGAGCAACATTTTGTTGAATTCTTTTCCGCACAGCTTTTCCTAAATAAAAACCTTCCACACAGTTCTGCCGCCACCCACCCGTTTCCCCTGCCTCTGCAAAGCTGATGCCAGTTGCCGCGCTGCCCCTGTCCCTTCAGTCCCCAAGATTCACTCTCCTCTTCCACTGCCTGGTCCTCTGCAAGGCTGCCGTGCCCCCACCTACCCCCCAAATCCTGGAACGGGAGGGGCCCTTTGGAGGACAGCAGCCTCTGAACACGTGCAAGTCCAGGCGTACACAAAACCAAGGGATGCCCGCCTGTTCCCTGCTCGTACTTCCTGGAACCCGAAGCAATGGGCAAATCAGACTCCGCTAGCCAGGCCTGAGAAAAGATTGATGTATATTTTCTTCCTTTTTGAATTTCAACCCCAGAAATATTCCAGCAAAAAATGGGGAGAGGTTGGGCTGGGTCTCCTCCAGTGGGCATCTGCTGCCAGGGAGGACAGTGGACTTGCCCCCTCGTGCAGGCTGCCCCCAGCCCACGTCCCCCCTGCTCAGCTGAGGATGGAGAGAGACAGAGTGGGGACAGGGAGGAGGGGGGAGCGGTGACGGGGGAGTCGGCTGAGGCTGGGGTTGGGGGCGCTGCCCAGGTGCAGTCACCTTTGCTCAGTGACGGAGCCTTGAAGCTGGGCCGGCGGAAGGAACTGCACAGTGTGGGTGAGGTGGGCTAGGTGGCACGGCTGCGGCCGGCGAGCTGGGGGGCGCAGGGCTGGGGGCTGGCGCCCCCCTAACTGATGATCTGCCGAGGCCGTCCGTAGCCTGTCATGCCGGCCTGGGAGGCCCCTCTGTTGCTGCCCATCTGCAGGCCGATGACGTGCTTTCCCTCCTGCAGTTGGCTGTCCGTGAATTCCCGCTTATGCTCCTGGGCTTTCCTAGGAGAGAAACCCGGATAAAGCCCTGGGTAGGCCTGTGCGTTTCCGCTTGTTTTGCGTTTCCCCTGTAACTTGCTAGCCTGACCCCACTCCTTCCCTGTTTCTTCTCTCTAGTTTGGCCCACAGGTGAGGGAAACTGGCTGGGCACAGGATGACAGGAAGGGAGGGGTCAAGAAGTATTAGGGACCCAGCTTCCCCCATCATAGACCTTCGCCTTGTGCCTACCTGTCTGCTTCCCCAGATCACTCTCACTAAGGGCTCAGCCCAGGCCCCCCCCATCTCACAGAGAACCAAGCTGGACATGCAGGGACCCCTGGGGGCCACATACTTCATGAACCAGTTGGGGTCTCCGCGGTAGTGCCCGTCATTCTTGGTCACCGCCAGGCTGCCCAGAGCCATCAGGGTCCTCTGCACCGCCGCCATGTCTTTGCCTGGAGCAGGATGCATGGGGATGGGGGGACCTCAGGACTGTGCGAACAGGACTCCAGGGCAGGGCCTGCCCCTACTCTCAGAGGAATGGCCCACCCAGGGGCAAAGGTGGTCCCAGAACCAGGTATGCTTCAGGACATCCTTCGTGTGCCCGTGTGTGGGGGGCGTGGTATCCTCTCGGCATATCCCCCTCCTGCCATGCAGAGCCGCCGTTGTGGCATGCTGTGGTCATTCCTTGTCCCTGCCTCAGCCTGCTGTCCTCCACCTGCCACCTCTACCCCTTTTCTCTCCGTACCTTCAAAGAGGTCAACAGTCTGGAACATGTCAGTCTTGGTGACCCCATAGTCCTCAGCTGCCTTCAGGAACTGAGCCACCTGCTCCATCTGCTTGAAGACCATGGAGGGTGGGTTCTCGGGCACCTTCACTGGCTTGGAGCCCTCAGAATACAGGCTGTTCACCAGCTTGCTCAGAATCTGCAGGCACAGAACGCAGCTTGGCCCAGCGCAGGGGTGCCCGCCCTGCGACTCCACCAGGATGGCACAGACCCACCCCTTCCCAGGGAGCCACTCACCATGCCATTCTTCAGCCAGACCTGGAAGCCCAGGCGCCCACGGTCCGGACGGCCCACGTCAGGGCCGCACTGCGCCACGATCCACTCCACCAGCCGCTCCTCCAGCTCCTCGTCATACTTCTTCTCGATTTTGGACTGCACCTCGCGGCTCATGCCATAGGCGGGGCCCTTGTTGGCCATGCTGAGGGAGAGCTGCAGCGGCCAGGCCAGGGAGGGCAGAGGGGCGGAGGCTCAGGGCACAGCTCTGCGCTCGCCGGGGCCAGGCGACTGTGGCTCTGGGCAGGGACAGCCCTGGGTGCTCATCTCCCTCCCCGGATTCCTCATTTGGTCCTGCCAGCAGTGCACATCGGGGGCCAGGCTCAACCGCTCCAGCCAGGGGGCCTCTGATCATGGAGATCAGAGAAACCAGATCTTTGGAAATCTAGGGTCAGTAAACTTCTGTGTAGATGACCAGACAGTAAATATTTTGGGCTTTGCAAGCCATATGGTCTCCTGCCATTGCAACACGAAAAGCAGTTGTAGACAATACACGAACAAATGAGCGTGGCTTTTTTTTCAATCAAATGTTATTTACACAGACAGACAGCAGGCTGCATGTAGCCTGTGGGCCGTAGTTTGACAAGCACTGGTCTCAAGCGTACTTTCTTTGTCAAGATTGGCCACACAGGCACTGGCGAGGCCTCCCAGAGGAAACCACAAAGCCCCCCAAAATAAAGCCAGCAGATGTCTTTGTTCAGCTGGGTGTGAGGTGGTTTCCTGGCTCTGCCTTGAGTTATGGAGGTAACTGCCAACTCTTAACTTCTCCCCCACTTTATCCCAGAAGCTGGAACTCCAAAACTCCTGCCCTTTGCCAAGTCAGCTCCGCCTCTGGCCTGCAGCTGTTGAAAAGGCTCAAATTTAGCCACCCCTCGCAGGTCTAGAAAGCCAGCAGTGCCTAAGAGCTTTTGCCCAAGAAGTACATTTCCTTAAGGGATCCACATGAGAGAGAGAGAGAGAGAGAGAACTGGTACATCCGCTGACTTTTTCTCATGTTCAGTCTCCCTCCACTGTAGTAGCTCGAGTAACCAAGAACCAGAGACCTCAAGGGAAATCCCAGAGCTGAGAATCTTCCAGCCAGAGCTCAGGAAGCTCCCGGTGTCCAGCTCAGAGGAGAGCCTGGGCCCGCACAGGGGGAAGGAGGAGCAAGGCTGCTGGGCAGACGGTGTGGCTGGTCCAGACACTGTGGCTGGCCTGGCCATGGGTATCACCCTGGGTAGTGCCCCGAATTCAGCTGAAGAGTCCCCAAAAGAGGAACCAAATAAGGCCAGACCCAGCACCTGACCTCAGAGAGGTCAGAGGTGGGGGGGGTTAGAATGGTCTGAGGATGGAGGCAGTCAGCATATCCCAACTCCGTGTCTGGTCGGAGCTGACCCACCTCGGTGGGGCGTCACCACTTCCCAGGGCCCCAGGCCAGTGCCAGTCTCCACTCACCCTACTCTTCCTGTCCCCAAGGCTGACAATCGCTCTGAGCTCGAGGTCCCTGTCTGTGCAGGGAGCCACCTCAGAGGGCTGTGCACATGCGGTGGGACGGTGTCTGGGCCCCCCTAACCTGCTGCCTGACCCCCAGCGGTGCTCCTCACATCAATCCTTCGCCTCCCAGAGCTGGTTTCCTGGTGGTGACCTGGGACAGCCAGCCCCTGGCCCAGGGGTGAAAACAGTAGAAGTTCTTCGGCTTTGGCCTCCATGCATCTCCAAAACCATTCCTCTTGAGGGGGCAACAAAATTTGGGAGCAAGAACTCTAGGTTGACTCATGTAAAGTCCAACCGTTGGGCAACTGGCTTTTCTGTAAGCCTGTTTCCTTATTTGGCCCCCCTCCCCAACCGCACCCTGCCGGGGGAGGCCAGAGAGCCCAAGGGCGGGGCCTCTGCCCTGCTTCCTGCCAGCAGCCGAGCCACACCCCCTCCCTGCCCGCTTCTCAACCACACAAGGATTCCTGGGCAAAGAACGGTGGTCGGTGGCCACGCTACCTGCCCTCCCACCTTCCCCTCCCAGACGGCATGCTGAACGTGTTGGGAACAGAACGGAAGCAGCGTCTGCCACCCCAGCTGTCAGGCCCGAGGCATTCAGAACAGATGGGCAAGGCGTCAAGGTTCGCAGTGACAAGCAAAGTTGGAACCCCTGGATCTAGAGTCCTTCGGGTTTTGATCAGAACAAGGGAGGAGGATGAAACGCACACAGCCCCACGCTTCCCCCTCCTGATGAAGCGTCTGGAAGTGCAGAGCTCCAAGAAATATCTCAAAATTCCTTGACCAAGACCTCCCTGGTCCGACCTTTGAGCTGGAGAGGAGGGAGAGACGGCAGGCTGCACGGCTCACCCAGGGGCTGTTCTAGACAAAGCCTCCTGGGACAGGATGGACAGGCTGCCATCGGCCTCCCTCCCCTGAGAGAACAAAGCCCGGCTGCAGAGGGCAGGGGACACCTCCTACCCGCAGGGACCCAGCAAAACTAGAGCACCAGGGGTCTGTCCGGGACTGCTGTGCCCCCCTCTCCAAAATAAGTCACAGCAAATAGGAGCAGGCACACATTGCTCTCTGAGAGGGCAGGACGGGGTGGCTCGTCTCAATCAGACAGAGAAGAGCGGCCCTACTCACTGCTACCCTTTGAATAGCAACCAGAGGGGAATAGCCAGGCCCTTCAGCAAGGCCCAGGGACCCAGGCCATCCCTCCCAGGGTCAGACAGCGCCCACTGCCACTCTCTGCCGCAGTGGGGTGACCTCGCCTCCCAGGTGACAGAAGGAGCCATGTGACTGGAGAGGCAGCTCTCACCTGTGCTGCACCCTGCCACCCCAGTCCATACCAGATTACGAGGTCTGTGGTCCTTCACCCCTGCCTCCATGGCTACCCAGGGGCTCTCCTGTGCTGCTCAAGCCCTGGTGGCCCACCAGTGCGACACTGCCATCCTGCCTTGGTGCACTCACACACCTCCTCACCTACTTGGACAGCCTCCTAGGTAGACGACTGACAACACAGCCTTGAGCTTATCCCATACCCCTGGGTGTGACTAGGCTGCAAATGAGAAGCTTCCCTCTCACCCCAGTTCCCAGGGCTCCACCATGAATCCGTCCGCACCAGCCAAGTCATCTTGGGCATTTCAAAGAGCCCAGGACGGCCCAGACTGAGTGCCAAGGGATTCTAGCAGCCCCATCCCACTCGCCAGTGTCCCCATCTGGAGATTAGGCACGCAGGCTGAGAGGGCGGGCTTCCCCAGCCAGGGCTGGGGCCTCGGACCCCCGGGAGCCCTGCGCGCAGCACCGCCACTGCCTCGGCCAAGCCAGAGCCCACCTCCCCTCCAGGGCCTCGGACCCCCGGGAGCCCTGCGCGCAGCACGGCCACTGCCACGGCCAAGCCAGAGCCCACCTCCCCTCCAGCCCCGGGCTCCGTGCACTCACAGCGGTTCCTCGGGGCCCACAGGAAGGAGAGCTCCGTGTCTGGGCTCGGACAGCCAGGACGGGGCGCTGGCTGGGTGAGGGGTTTAAAGGGCTGCTGTGCGGTGATGTCAGCCTCCCCCGCTGGCTCACCCCTTGGCCCCTCCCTGCGAGAGGAAATCGGGCCCCGTTCCCACCCGCCAGCCCCCCCAGTGACCGCACACGGGCTCCATATTTGGGGAAAGGCACCAAGTCGGAGCAGTCTGTCGGGGGCTGCCCGAGACATTCCCCGCGTGCTTCGGGGATGGAGCGGGCGGGGGCGGGGCAGCGCGCGGGGGGGTGGGGGTGGGAGTGGGGGGACCGCCGGGAAAGGCCTTTTATGGACTGGGCCGTGCAGGCTTCCCCGGCGTCTGGGCTGGGGCTGCTCCTGCCCCTGCACTGCTCCCTGCTGCCGGGTGCGAGAGGAGGGCCATCTTCAAGAGGGTCTGGCCAGAGACGGGAAAGGACTAGGGGGACCATCCCTGACGTCTGTGGCCTAACCACACCCTCTCGGCGGTTTTAGCTCTAGTCGGGGCAAGGAACTGACCTTCACTGAGGACCTCCGACGTGCCAGGCACCTTGCAAATGCTGTCAGTCCTCACAGCTACGTCCTAACAGCGTGACTGCTTTCCCCATCTTACAGATGAGGAAGCTGCAGCTCTGAGGGCGTCTTCTCCAAGGCCACAGGGCAAGCCATGAGTGGGGCAACCTGGCGTCCCTGCTGACCCCTGTGTGGCAGCGGAAGGCGGTCAGCCCCACCCTCTGTTGTACTGACCTACTGGGGCGGACAGCTGTCAGCTGGGGCGGAATCTGGGGGTTCAACAGTAAACTCCGGCCCCCATTCTGAGGGTCTGTAAGATCTGGCAGGACCTGAGATACCAACCCTAGAATAGAGGCCCAGAAAGCACCATTCCTCGCCTCCTTTACAGTCCCTACCTTCCGGGGAAACAGACCGGACTCCATCAGCCCGGGGAAGGAGACTCACTGCTACCTTGCTGGTACCTGACTCCAGGGGTCCCGGAAGGGGCAGAAGTTGAGACATCCAGGGGGGTTTCTGGGCTACCCACTGTGGCACCAAATCCTAGGGCAGCCCGCAAGGCGGAGCCAACTCTCCACCGCATCCTCCACACACAGACCTCCCAGCACCACCAGCAGGGCCCCCCCACCGCAGCCGCCTGACTCCAGGGCCTCGTGGCGCAAAGGGCTAGAGCGCCTCCCAGTGGCAGGTGCGGGAAAGGGCAGGGAGAGGAGCCTGGGGATCCGCCCCGCCAGAGCCGCCCAGGCTTCTGGTTGTGTCCAGAGTTCACCAGCTTCCTCGCCCACCAAACCTTGGCATCCTTAGCTTTAGCTGAAATCCAAGTGAACCTCCCAGGGAATTTCAAAATTCCCTCCTCTTGGAGCCTGCCCGTCATCTTGGAGCCCACTTACCCCCACCCACCACCATCTTATTGGCCAAGCACTAGTGCAGCCTGACTGGCAAGGGGCCATCCATTAGTCTCCGGGGAGTACGGCCCGCACTGCCAGCGGCTGAGCCGGGAGGAGCTCAGGTCCGAAGGGAGCCCGGCCTGACTGGTGGGCTGGGACCGGGTGGGCAGAGGCCACCGCCATTTGCCAGGCAAGGGGAGATCTCAGAGCTGAGACGGCACAGCTAAGGCTTATTCACTATGCTCTCCTTTCTGCCTGGCACAGTGCCTGGCACAGAGTGGACCCTCTGTTGAATGTTTATGGAATTGATGCCATTGTTAAAAGGAGAGGAAAAATATGGGTGGGGTTAGGGGAATCAAGGAACTGTTGCGCCCAGTGGGCCTGGGGCTTGGAGAAAAGTAGACCCAAAGAACTGGAAAATGGAGGACCCCCACCCCACTCCTCATTCTCAACATCTCCATCCAGACTGGGGGAGCAAGCAGGGACCCGAGAACTGCATTTGGTTGTTTCTTTAATTGAATGCAGACTCATTCATAGAAAACAGAAACACAACCATAGCACAGAAACAGACATTAAATGGAGCTCTGAAAACAGATCCAGACCCACCTCCTCTCCCCAGGCCAAGGGAGGGCTATAAAAACAAGTAGGGTGGAATAAAACACTTCCCCATTCGGTGGCAGAGGCGTGACCTGCCCTCCCCAGCACGGGCCTCTGGAACGGACTTGGTAGGGCGACAGCAAGCCAAGGACCAGAGCCCCCGGGCCCAGGGCCGGGGCGACTCAGTGTAAACTCCAAACTTTCACATGTATGCATGTGTGTGACTAACACAGAACTGGGCTGAAGACTGGACGGAAACTTGGAAGCCAGCCCTGCGTCCCAGAGCGAGGGGCCCCGGGCGTGGGGGGTGTACGCCCTGCCTGGAGCCCCTCTCTGACCCTCTAAGGCGGACTGGCATGTGGACTGGTGCTCGCACGGCCACGGAGGCAGGGTGTGCTGGGCCCTTCACAACCCCCCTCAGCCTGGACATTCTCGGGCAGTGTCTATGGCACTGAAAGGCCCCCAGCTGGGGCTTGGCAGGACTTAAGACCTAGGAAGAAAAAGGGTTGAGTCACTTCCCTCCAATTCTGGTGCCAACATCACTCTGGGGGCTCATGGGATAGGAAGGTGACCTCTAAGTTCAGTCCCTCAGATCAAACATGGTTTTCACACGTGGGCTGACCCTCACTGCTAAGGAGCCAGCCCTGTGCACAGGTCAGAGGGAGGAGGCAGCCCTGCCAGGGTCCCCTTGCGGGCCTTAGCACCAAAAGCCTGGCACCAGCTGGCCAGCCCTCAAAACCATACAGCGCCATTCCTCCTGGCTGCCCAGAATAGGCAGTGATGGCAGCCAGGTTCAGCCCCAAAAGAAGTGGGGCCCTGGCGCAGGACAGAGGGCCAAGCTCCAGACTGGGGCCCTCGAGCAGGAGCCTGGGAGCCCCAGGCTGTGGGTCCCAGGTCGGGAGGCAGGGAGGGGTGAGCAGAATGCAGGTGCGAGATGGGCGGGAAACACGCCCCTCCTTCCTCCTGCAGAGGGACCAATGGACGGCTATCAGACAAGGCCACCAGGGCTAACAAAGCAGCAATTTGGCCAACATTTCAAGTTTTGGGGGAGCAGGCCCTGGCAGAGGGCGACTGCAAGGCTCAAGGCCACCGCCATGACTGTGCTGGACCCAGCCTGGGCTGGACCTCGCTGTCCTGCCACCACGCAGTGTGCGGCAGCCAGGCCGGACTCACACCCCCCGTGCTACAGAGGCTCTAGGCAGTGAGGCAAGGGGCACAGGGCCCCATGAGCGAAGCAACGGGCCCGGCTTCCACTAGAAGACATAGATCTTGTCACGCTGCACAGTGTCCAGGTCGTCATCCAGTGTCAGCAACACCTGGGGGGCAGAAGCTGAGTCAGGCACAGGAAAGGGGGTGACCTCTGTCTCTACGCCACCCTCCTCGGGCAGAAGAGCCGCACATACCAGGAACGACCCAAACATGGCAATGGAGGAGAGGAAGTGCCAGATGTCATGGTCGTCGAAGAAGCCAAGGAGGATGCAGTCCCGGTTGTGCTCCCGGGACTCGGCGGGGGTTTTCTGGGGGAGCATGGAAAGTGGCCTGCTGACAGGGCCCCCAAGGCTGGGGCCAGACCCGCCTCCCACCACCCTCCAGGGCGCCCCCTGCTCCCAGCCCAGGGAGAGCACCCCCTCTGCCCCGCTCCTCTCCCCCATCTAGGACCGGGCCTGGTCACAGACACCTCTCCCAGGACGCGGGCTCCTGCCCCCAACTTCCCTCCACTCCTCTCCACGCCCCCCATCCGTTCCTCCTCCCTTGATCTGGCAGAGGGATGATCATCCTGGGCCACTACAAGGCCACGGTGCCTCCTGACTCAGCCGCGCCTTGGCCTCTGCCCCCTGCCCCAGGAAGCCCTCCCTGGCTCCTCCATGCTCATTTTTTCCCCAAAGCACAATGGGCAGGTCCTGCACTGCTACCCGAGGGTGACAGCCGCCATGACCAGTGGGCCATGATCTGAGGGACTCGGGTCCTCCATGCTCTCCCCCCGGGCACCCCTGGCCAACCACCATGGGCTGGACACCACCCTGCATCTGGGGGCTGTGTGTGCCGCACATTGAGGCCCAGAGATGACACGAACAATCTGCCATACCCTCAAGGTGTTCTCGGGTTTCACTCAGCCCCAGATTAGTGCATTCGCTGACCCCCAATCTGTCTCCTCTAGTTCCGCCTCTGTATCGTTACTCACATCACTGCGTCTCTGAGCCACTGGACCCTTCCCCATCACCCAGGGCCTTCAGAGCCAAGAGCAAGGCCTGCCTCCTCCAAGAAGCTTTCCTGGATCTCCTAACTCAGACACCTCTCTGCCCTCCACACTCCTGTAAACCCCCTCTGCTTGTCTTGCCTACACCCTTCATCTCATGTGTCATATTGTAAAGGGCAAGCCAGGAACCAACGGTCTTGTCTCTCTGGAACTAGATGGTAAGTGCTTCAAAGGCAGAGACGATGCCAGACTTAGTTCTGACCACAGAATCAAAACCTGACCAATGGCCGGTGCCCAGTGAGGCAGAGGGGGAGAGCCTCCCATCTCCGGCTTCAAACCCCAGCTGTGCCCTCTCTGGCTGTGTGACCTTGGGCAGGTCACTTGGCCTCTCTGAGGCTCAGTTGCCCACAGGTAAATAGGAATACCTCCATGCTGGCACACTGAATGTGAGGAGGATTAAAGGACAAAGCGGCTGTGAAAGACAGGTAGGTGCTTACACACGAGGCTGGGAGAGAGATCTGGCCCTTGCTGACTCACAATAAGCCTGTGGGCAACCCTCCCCCCAGCAGGACTACTCACCTGCCAGGTGCTGAGTCCCTGGAAGAAGAAGAAGAGGGCAAAGCCCCAGACCACTGAGGTGCAGACGATGCAGAGCAGGGGGATGAGCTTGATCCTCTCCCCACTGCGGAGCTGGGAGGGGGACGGAAGGACCGCCTGAGGGCCAGGCCTTGCCCCACCCCACATCCCCTCCTATGCATTTCAGGGTGGACCCCTCAGCAAGGCCTCTAGGACTGCACCGTGACCTCACACAGCTACACAGCTCAACGTGTCCCCACACTAGCAGCCTGGTGTCC